TCCAATTTACCACAAATAGACTACATGATCCAACGATTTTTGCAGGGATTAGTATCCCCACCGAGTTTCACAAAAAAATTCACTATACTTTGCACGGAATAGCAATTGGTTCCGTAATGGAAATCTCAGCCTATCTATTTAAATAAATGCACATATAACATAACGGCGATTTATTTGAAGCAATTTTAAAGAAACAATGATAGAATATTTGTTTGTGTATGAATTCATTTGTCACTGCTTCCAAACTGTGCGGCTTCAGTTTATCAAGTTTATTCAGTCAAATCGCTGGAGAAATTTATCAGAAATGTGTAAACGAGTTTCCATACGAGATTTGACAGTTTATTTACAAGGTTTACACAATTATAAGTTTATACGGTTTACAATGCATTTATAAGGTTTGATGAATACCCTTATTGAGAGGCAGTCTGACATTTGCCATCAACAGTGTTGCCGTTGCGAATTTTCAGAAAGTCTCAAAAAGGGTCATTGACGAAAAAAAGGGTCACCATATTAAATTTGCTTCTCTTTACTAGTAAAAGAATAAATTTGTTGATTTTAAAAAGAAAATGCACATAAATCTAGTTGCTGCAAGGAGAAGAGTTGCATTTCCCTTAAAAGTTTTAAGTGATGCATTTTTTTTGTACTTACAGGAGAAACTAATTTTTAGTAGAATGATTCTGCTAACATTTCCTAAAAAAATCTTTGAAAAGGGCCAAAAGTCCCAAATAATTTTGGAAAAGGGTAAAAAATCAAAATTTTCCAAAAGTCGGGTCAAAGGGTACCGCCGCTTAAAAAGGGTCAAATTGTCCCTTTAGTCACACAACGGCAACACTGGCCATCAATATACTTTTAAAATTCGAACTCAAGCTCACACACACATTCTCCCTTTTTAAACTATGTTCACATATCAATATTATCTCAATCAAAGCTCGTTTTTTAATCACCCCGTTTACACAGGCAAATCTCAGATTATTCGCCGTCAAATTTGTTGTGCTCGTTATTCTCACATCTCAAGGAAAAGTTATGTTTCTTCTCTGTGCCACCGTGATGACGTTTTTCTGCTATAATAAGCAATATAAATATATTTTAACTTAACATTTTATTAAAAATACCTTTACAAACCTCTTTTACTTGCTAGCGTACATTTTTGTTTACTTTTACATTTGGCATTTCTCCTCTTTTTTCGCAAAAACAATCGATAAAACTAGGATGGACACCGAAAAGTTATCGGTTAAATCTGAGATTATTTTATAATTACAGATTAACAAGGGACGAATTTTATATGGCTAATCTCTTGTTATAATTACAGATTAGGGTGTTAAGCTCAAAAATGAGGATAATCTACTTATATGTGAACCTAGTATTAGTTGAGTACAAAATATGACTATGAATATGCGCCATTATATTTAAGTAAATCTCTTCTTATAACTAACGAAGACTTTGTTTCTATATGAAGCTCACTTCGACATTTTGTTTTGATAAAACTTAGTATCGAAAAGTTTCTTTAAACATTTGCCTAGGCTATATTATACTGGTTGTGCTATTGTACCAAAAATGCCAACACTGTTCTGTATACATACTTTTTTTTTCTTTTTACTCTTATTTTATCTTTCAGCTTCGCTAAAAGCACTTCTACCAACGCTTGGCTTACCAAATTTACGCCTATTGATTAAATTTTCCGATTTAATTTCATTTTCAATAATGTAAATATTGATTCGTGTTGAATCGAAAATCGCCTCGTCTGAATAGGGATTGCAACTTTTTCACTTTCAACTTCTCGTTCAACTTCGTATTCAACTTTTGTTGGCTGTAAAATCGGGTCGTGCGAATGCCCTATAATGGTAAACTTTTTTTTGTGCAAATGACAAGGGGCGGTGCTAGAGGGGCTTAACGTGGAATTTCCAACATTTCCAAAAGCTTAAAATTTTGAAAACCATTGAACCGATTTTCAAAATATGGACATATGGACAGTTGGATGGGTAATTGAGGGACCTTTCATTTAATATATATATCTATGTATATAATGCAAACATTTTTTGAGAAAAAGTAAAAAAACGAAATTAATTAACAAATATGTTTATCGCAAAGACCATAAAAATACTTTTAATTTGGCGTATAATTTTATATAGTTAGGTTTAAGTACAACTGCCAGCAGTGCAATAAAACAACTGTATTAATGTTATATGCTATTAATTTAGGTAGTAGTGCACTTTAGCGGAACCAGGTCAAAATGGACGAAAAAGTTTGAGAGTAATATCAATCGACGCGTCTTAACGCCAATAATAACAATCCGAAACCGGAAATTAACATTTTTAATTCATTAAAGAGTTATTTGCAAAAAACGCTTGCGCTTTCTGCACTATGTTTTGATGAATTTCACGCAAATGAATGGAATAAATGAACTCAATTTAACACGTATTTATTAGTTTTTATACATTTGTGATGTTTTAAGTGTACACTTTCGCAAAATTCTGTATTTAATAGCAATATTCCGATGGTGAAAACCCGCACAACAATCTTGTGTAGTTAATATAAATAAGATGGAGGAAAACTGGTGCTGTTACTCTATTAATACAATTTGTATTTCAACTTTAAAAACATCCAAATAATGCATAAGAAATATACTTTTGCGAAAAGGGGATTTCTGTTCCTTTTCTTCTCACGCAGAAAGGAGAAATCTACGTAGTGAGGGTTATAATCTCTAAGCGCGGCCGAAGGCCACCTACGCAGAAAGGTGTTCTCTGCTAAACGTGTTCAGCCCCTTTTATTTGGCAACACAGAAAGAAGAATTCTACGTAGTGAGGGTTATAATCCCTAAACGCGGCCGAAGGCCGCCTACGCAAAAAGGTGTTATCTGCAAAAGGTGCTCTGCCCCTTTTCTTTGGCAACACAGAAAGGAGAATTCTACGTTGTGAGGGTTATAATCCCTAAGCGCGGCCGAACGCCGCCTACGCAGAAAGGAATTCTACGCAAAAATACTGTGGATAGCGTAGCTTGATTAATTATCCATTTAATTCTACAACTCAATCTTATAACAAATAAGGTGATTAAAAAAATGGGTTTGTATATATTTCTTTAGTATTTTTTTAATTTTAATGAAATTTTTGTAAAAACTATAGAGATTAAGATTTTCTATCGCGCGAATTTTTATTCGAAATTTTCGCCAGCGGCGCTTTTCCTTTTCCATATAAAACTATATTTTTATAGATATTTAGTCAAATATGATGTCCACAAGAATTTTTGGCTACAAGTCATATATCAAATTAAAAGTATTTTTGTGCTCTTTCTGATAAACATATCTGTTAATATAGTTAATTACGTATTTTTTTTAAGGAAAACATACATTTTTATAAAAAAATTGCCATAATTTCGTTTTTTACCTTTTCTCGCAATGTGTATACATTATATACATAGATATATATATCGAGTGAAAGGCCCTTCAATCACCTTTCCAACTGTATCCATATTTAGAAAATCGGTTCGATAGTTTTCGAAATATAAGCTTTTGAAAATGTTGAAAATTCCACGTTTAGCCCCCCTATCGCCGCCCCTGTCAATTTGCACAAAAAAAAATATGCCGTTAAAATTCCTGTTGCGTCTAAATGAATCTTACATTTAAGAATTTATGTATATGTATGAGTTATTTGAATCACTCTGTATTTTTTCTTAACAAATTCTTTGAAATACTGATTTTTGTTCCCTCTGAATACAACTCTAAAACTGAACGAAGCGTGGATCGATCATTTGAATTTTATCAATACGATTCATTCAGTTTCAGAACTTTGAATTGAAAGGACATGAATAAGTAAGTTATTTGGCCGAGACTTGTTAAAATTACTTAATTAACAAAACTGTACTTGTATTTTAAAATTTCAGATATTAAAACAATTGCTAACTCTACTTTACCTTATGCCCGTATGATACTACGTTTTTTTCCTGTATTTTTCATTTGAAATACAAACAAAAAAACTGACGAAAGTCAAATTACAAAAACTATTCGGAAATGTGTTAGAGAAAGACAAATTCTGTGTGAAGAACAGCTGAGTTTTGACGTTTCATTACCGAAATTCAAATAAACGAAATTAAAATTGATGTAAAACAGTTTTGTAACAATAAAAATGAAATTAAAGTGGCAAGACAACTACGTATTCCATTTAATTGACAAAGTCCACGGTGCAGAATATATATGGAATCATATGCTACCATCATATAAGCACAAATATAAAAAGCAGCAGTTTTGGCTCGCTTTGGTGGATGAAATGTACCATTTCAATACGGTAAGTTTTTAGCAAGTTCACATGTAATAACTAAAAGATATATTATATGTTTGTATAATACATATATGTATTTAAAGATGAAGTTACGCACAAGTGGTGCAACATCAAGTCATATTTCAGTTCAGAGAAGCAGAGGATGGACAAGGCAAAGAGAAGCGGTGCCGGCGGAGACGAAAACGTACAGACCAGCTGGAAGTTCTATGAAGCTTTGAAATTCCTACAACATGTGAATGAGCATACACCATCAGTGAATAATTTTAATAAGTGGAGTTTGCAGGTACGACTTTTATTGTGTGAAACCGGGCAAAGCGTCGATTCGCGTGCTACGTAAAATTTGCTTAATATTTTCATTCTCTTGTAGAACCTGGACCCTGATCCCAATCCATCGCGTAAGCTTGGGGAGCAACTGCAGCCTGCAGAATGTTTCGATCCAGGCTTTGACTCAGAGTCATCCTTTTCACTCATCGAAGACAACACAGAGTTCATTACAATTACCCCTCTTGCAATTACAAGTAACAGCAGTATCCAGTCGCTCCAAGATACTAAAAACATCTCTACAGAAGACACTAATAGTGATGCAACACCAATTAAAATCATATCGGATGAGATTGTAACTCCACCACTGGTTACTTCGCAAAACTGTGGTCGGTTTGATGACAATAACAACAATAGCACTAGAAAGTTGGTCCATGCAACAAGAAAACGAAGAATAAAATTAATAATGATTTGGATTAAAACGCCTCTGCTTTAATCGAAGCATCACAAAATTTAACAAATGCCTTTCATGTTGCATCAAAAACAAATAACACTGACGAAAAGGCAAACAGTTTTGGGATATACATGGGTGAAGAAATTGTAAAACTGGACCCCGACTTGCAACTCAAAGCGAAGAAACAAATGCATGACATTTTAATAGATCTGCAAAGTGAGCAATTGAAACGGAATGGGCTTATGTAACACAATGACTATTTATATGTATGTATGTACACTCATAGACAAAAATAGGAGTGTCCCTTTTTGTCATGTTTTGACCATTTTCCGTAGGTTATTGAATTTTAATAACTTATTTATAAAACTTTAGTTAACTCTACAACCAAACACATATCACTAGAAGCTTTAAACTTTAAACAAAATTCAAGAAAATGCATAAAATTACATAACAATTTCGAACTTCCTTTTAAGTATTTCAAAAACAAAATGGGTTGTTGCGGCGCCCTCAGCTAAAAAAAACAATACGCAAAATTAACGGTGATCTTAAGCCACTTGAAATTTGCCATTTATTACATAAAAATTACACATCTACACAGACATGCAATTTTCTTTTTAATATTTAAAAGAAAAAAATCGAAATTTTGATGAGTTTTCCTGAATTTCGTTTAAAGTTTAAAAGTTTTATTGATATGGTTTTGTTTGTAGAGTTTACTATACATCCCGTGTCATAATTATAAACGCACCACATATTGCCAAGTTTAAAGATTTTTAATTAATGGGGTGTATTTTTATAAGTAAATTATTAAAGTTCAATAAATAAAAGGAAAATAGTCAAACTTTACGAAAGGAGGCAGAGTTATTATTTTGCCGAGTGAATATGTATTTTGATTATTCTTACCACTTTTTTTATTTTATTATTACTTTCATTAAAATATTTGGTTGCTCTAATTGAATCAAAAATGTAACAGTGTTTGTACTACTCACGGTGCACCGCTAAGTAGGCAGGTATTAGCTGGTAGGTATGTACATAAATTGAAGACATTGTACTCATTTATTTAATCACCAAATAAACCAATTGATGCTTCTACTAGTATGGAAAATTTCCAACACGAAAAGTTTTGGTTTATTTAAACAATGAAACGATATTTTAATTTACCGCAGAAAAATAGTTTTCGAAAGTTTTTCTTATTTCTTCAGCGCTCCTTTTTGACGCATTTCTTTCAGAAGCGGTTGTTGTATAGTTGTTATCTATTACTGCATCTATTTCACTTTCGGAAATGGCGTCAAACGTAGTTTTCTTTTTCACATTTTCTGTTCTTAAAAAGTTGTGCACACATACGCAAGATAATACAATCTGAATGGCTGCAGCTGGAGCGCGATGGATGGGTGAAAATAAAACTCGAAAACGGTTCGCAAGAATGCCAAAAGCATTTTCAACAACGCGTAGATCCTGCTTTCCTCACTGGCAGTATTCTGCAATGCTTCCTGAGACGTTTCATCAGTTGAGTGAATTTAAAAGTGTTAATTGTTAGTTTACCATCTAAAGCGCCGATGCAGTTCGGGAATCCCCACATCTGATAAAAGTCTTTTGCAATATCACGCCAATCTTGCTCACTTGCAGGGAATTTCAAATACTCCTCCCTTAACGCCAAATATATTGCGGGAATTGATTCCTTTAAAATTCTGGAAATGGTTGACTGCTGAATTCGGAACGGCAATTGAAGTGACCTTTGGGTTTCACCTAATTTTGGAAATATGTACATACATATGTAGGTACTAAAAATTACCAAGAAAATATTATATCTTACCAGTGGATAGATATCGCAATGTCAGCTGCAGCCGTTCCGCAGCTCCTATGCAGTTCCTGAATTTTGCATCCTGCTTGCTAATATAGGGGCGTACTTTTTCTAATAAGAATGCAAACTGAGCTGGAGTCATTCTTAAGATATTTTTGTGAAGGATTGAATCCTCGCACTCAATTTCCTTTACAGTTTATGGCTAAATCCTATGAAAAGTATTTTTGATAATTACAAAAACGAACTATATACATGTGTATATAATGTGGAATTCGAAACTTACCTTCCAGTTCTCTTTTTAAAAGCCATTGCGCAGAATATTTTTTTTTAGTCTTTTTCTTTTTCCTACGCTGTATTAAGGCAGCAGCGTTTAGCAAACAATTTGTTGCAATAGATAAAACTTGTATTTCCATTGTATGCTTAGAAAATCTCTCGTATGTCAAAATGCAAACAGCTGTGTAAAAAAACTAACGAAATACAGCCATCTGTCAAAAAAACCTAACGAAATACAAGTGGGCCGGACTGTTTTTAACAACCTAGTTTGTTTTTCGTTAGTTTTTCGTTTGTTTTTTGGTATATAGCTTACTCGCTTACACAAGTACTGAAATTGTATGTGACCTTCTCTTTCTTTCAAAATACAGCGTAAAATACACTCGAAATACAAGAAAAAAACGTAGTATCATACGGGCATTAACAATAAAGTGGTTTTTTTGTTCTTAATAATCGTGCCTATTTGTAAGCAATGTCGTTGAACTGCTCATGGTAATGTAGCGGTGCGCGACATTTTCTTTTAATATTTATTCTTAAACGGATCGGATCCGGCCGACTGCCAGTTTGGAATTACATCTACATGCCAATTCATCCATATAATTTGCGAAATAAAGGAAAAATGTCTTACCACGAGGATGGAGACTGCGCAAGTGAAGAGGCTCTCGACACCACCATAGTTCCCCACAGTACGGAATTAGCCGAGCTACGTGAACAGCTAAAGAATCTACAAATATCGTTAGAGGCTTCTAGGAGGGAGAATTCAGCACTTAAGAAATCCATCGAATCCCGAGAAGCGGTTGGTTTTTATAGAAGCACCAAAACTGTCGATTATACCGACGAACACTTTACAGGCGTTAATTCTGCCGAAGAACAACGCGCCAACGTCAATTCTGCCGACGTACAAATCGTCAACGTCACCCGTGCCGACGTATTGCCATTCAACGTTACATCTGCCAACGCTCCCATGTATGTCACTGCTACCTGCTCAAATTCTGCCGACGTCTATGCTGCCGACGTGCTCGTATCTCGAGATAATTCAACACCAATGAGGGTAAGTTCTGGCCATATTGTAACTAACGCTCAAGCTGCACATGCCAATTTTTCCGGCGTACAACCCCATTACATCCACCCTGCCGACGGGTATACTAGCCTCGTTAGCTCTGCCGACGCATACCGTACATGCGAGAATGTCTGTTTCAATCACATGTTTGCAAATCGACCTACAGTGCCGACCTCAAACAATGTGTACAATTTGCAAAATCCGTACCTGGGCGGATTGAATTACCTTGGCCAAGGTACACCTATTCCTTTAAACCAGTCGGTACCTAATAACCTTCAACACCAGCAATATAGTGTGCGGAAGTTAATTGACTTGCCCGAATTTCAAGGTTCTCCGGAGGAATGGCCCATGTTTTCAGTTGCCTACCGAGAGACGACAACGACATATAATTATTCGAATCTTGAGAATTTATTGCGTTTACAAAAAGCTCTAAAAGGTTCCGCTCGACTGCATGTACAATCGTTATTAATTCACCCAGCAAGTGTTGATGCAGTTTTAAAAACACTAGAGTTTATGTATGGACGCCCAGAAATTCTCATCCGCAGTCAAATAGCCAAAGCAAGAGCATTCCCAGCTGTTCCTGGAGGAAACCTTAGCGAAATCGTAAACCTTTATACAATGGTCTCTAATTTGACGGCGCACAGCCGCATTTGACCAACCCTACTCTGATTGATGAATTGGTAAGCAAGCTACCTCTTAACAAAAGAGAAGAGTGGGTACGTTGCACGTTTAGTATTCAGCAACCATATCCTAGTGTGCGTGACTTCTGTGTATGGTTACGGCAAATTGCTACATATGTTTCTGTAGCGAACGAGATGGGTGGCGCAAACCAACCGATTGTCAATGAGCCGATGGCACAAAGGCCGCGAATTTCGAAACCAGTATTAACAGTGGATGAAAATAAACATAGATGCATTATGTGTCCAGAAAGCCATAATTTATATTTGTGCTCTAAGTTCAAGGAATTAAATAATTCTAGAAGGTGGGATGCAGTAAAAAAACATCAGTTATGTTTTAGTTGTCTATGTGCTGGCCACAGTAGCCAAAACTGTGTAAAACGTCGCGAATGCGGCATTTCTTGTCGCAAATTTCATAATCGACTCTTGCATAATTCGAACATAGGATCTTCCGAAAAATTCAACCCTACGTCCGGTGACATACCTGTTGCAGCGCTCAGTCGTTTTCACTATGTTCAATCAGCTGGCGAATGCGAAGCAGCAAAAAACAAACAAGCAAAACTTGATCGCCGAACGCTGTTGAAATATTTGCCAATAAAACTGAGCGGACCAAAAGCGACAA